TAAGTTAGGATACCTGAATATCAAAAAAATAAATAAATAAATAAAAATAAAGCAGCAAGTTTCACGCCTCCTCTTGTCCAGACGTGGCCCCCACAAGTGCCATTAAATAGCCACCCTATAGAGGGCAAGAATTCTTCACCTCAAGCGTGCTCTCAACACTTCAATTTTCTAAGGTAGAATTGTTACAACCCTTGTAATATAACCCCATAGTGTCGACATGGTTTGTCTCAAGGATCCATTGGTTCAAAAAATCTGCGAGTTTTACGAGAAAATTTCTAGGCTAGACAGCCTCAAACCCTCTGAAGATGTCGACATGCTGTTCACGAAGCTCGTTCTCACGTGCATGCCACCGTATCCAATTGATTGCACAAAATTGTGCCAGAAAATTCAAGAAATCAGGTCCAAACTCATTAGACTTTGTGGAGAAGCAGAAGGGCTCCTTGAAAAACACTATTCAACTACCTTAGGATCATTTGATAATCCTCTCGAGCATCTAGATATTTTTCCCTATTTCTCGAATTACCTTAAACTAAGCCTACTCGAATTCAACATCCTTAGCCAACACATCAAGGACGTCCCAAGTCGTGTTGCATTCGTGGGATCAGGTCCCCTCCCCCTTACCTCAATCGTATTGGCCTCGAATCACATGACTTCCACCACTTTCCACAACTACGACATCGACTCATCAGCCAATTCCATGGCGTCCTGCCTCTTGAAATCCGATCCCGACTTATCCAAACGAATGATATTCCATACTACGGATATCATGCATGTTACAAGTGCTCTCAAGGACTATGACGTCGTTTTCTTGGCAGCCCTTGTTGGTATGAACAAGGATGAAAAGGTTCAAATACTGGAGCATTTGAACAAACACATGGCACCAGGTGCGCTTTTGATGCTTAGAAGCGCCCACGGCGCGCGTGCTTTTTTATATCCGGTGGTTGATCCTCGTGATCTCCGAGGATTCGAGGTTCTTTCAGTGTTTCATCCGACAGATGAGGTTATCAATTCTGTTGTCATAGCTCGTAAGTCTTCATTTTCTATGCATTCATCAATTGATCAGGGATTTGGGCCATTAATGCTTTGCAGCAAATGTGCTGAGATTCAAGTTTTCAATCCCCTAAACCAGATGAACATGATTGAGGAATTGGCAGCCGAGGAGCATCATTGTTGAAGAGTCTCCTCTCTCTAGATCTCTTTCACTATATTTATATCCGACATAGAACTTTGAATCCTTTCATCGTTTTCCATATATTGTTGCATGCTAATATGCTAGTAAAATTTATGCATTTGTGTTAATTTCAAGAAATAACATGACTCTTGGCACTTGTTCCAAAATCCTCTCAAGAGTGCAGTTCCGTCACATGGGTTAAAAGAGGAAGGTGTCGATAAAAACTATTACCTCGGTCGTTTGTTTGTCGAAATTTATCAATCGCCAATTCTTGGGAATGCCAAAGCAAGGCTGCCAAAAAGGGCCATCTCATATATAAAATATATCGAACGGCGGATACTTGTTATTCGAATGATGTTGTAGACGTCTCTATTTATGATTACCGAAAGTTTTATGTGATAAAGTCTTGCTTGAATTGAACTAATACAATTCTATTTTCGTCTTATCTTCTCATATAAATGAGATACTAAGACGTGAAAATTTTCTACACAGTAATCATCACGACAACTTTATTGCTACACATACAAAACAAAGCATAAATTTTTTGCTTAACTTCAATCATCGTAAGCATAGCTTTTGCAAGTAAGATAAAATTTTTAGTTGCCAAAACAACTGGAATTTCATTATCATAAGCAAGTGCGATCTATCTTTGACATCATTGCTCAAAACAAGAAATTAAACGACAAAACGGCATCATTTGCTGTCCCATTTATAGCCAATTGTCCAATAAGCCCCTGCCATATTATTTTTTTTATTCTCATTTTTCTACTTATTTTCAATCAAATATTTTTCAATTAAATAATATTTTTCATCACGTAAATAACTTTTCCTTATTTTTCAACCACATATTCCTCATCACATCAAACAAAAAATGTTGCATTCTTGGACTCAAAATGTGAACCAAACAGGGGCAATAAGATTTGAATGGTTTAGTGTATTTTACACCCTGTTTGATACCCATTTTCTTCTCATTCTCATTCTCATTTTTTTTCCATTCTTTATTTCAACCACACATTCAATTAATAAAATAATAATACACATAAACCCAAAAAATTCTCATTACTTTTTAACCGCATATTCTTCCATCAATTACTATTTTAGAATTTATTTTTTCTCCAAAGTGGGTGTCAAACAGGGGCTAATGTGGTAAAAGTTAAGTAAGCCCCTGTTTGAGCCACATTCTCATTTTCGTTCTCATTCTTCTACTCATTTTCAACCACACATTTTTCAATAAAATAATATTTTCTATCACATCAATAACCTTTTTTATTTCAACCACATATTCACCATCACATCACAAAAAAAAAAGTGCATTCTTTCCATTTTAATGTGCATCAAACACAGAAACAGGCAAAAACTCATTTCATGTCTTGTAGTTTGGAATAGGGGTCAGTTTCTTGGTTCTATGAAGCAATGTTGAGACAAATTATTCCCTAGTAAATTATAGTTCAAATATGTAGGTCCATTTTCATTTTGCAACTTAGCCTTCGTTTGGTAATTATTTTTCTACAAAAAAATGCATTTTTTGTGTCAAATCA